CAGCTCTCCTGATGGAGGAGCCAGGGGCACTGGCAGGGAGGTCATGGTCGCTGGCATTCCAGACCCAGAGGAGGGTGGTGCCTGAAGCCTTGGCCTGGGCAATGCTTGGACAGCTGCTGGGTCACCGCACTCCCCCGGCTGGATGGACAGTGACCCGCCTCCACCCATCACACCCACAGCAATGCACTTTGCTTATTCTCATCCTACTCACTGCATCCCCCAGCCCACGGGGTGACAATACCCAGCCCTCCACCCCCACCTCGGCCTCTCCAGTTTCCGAGTTCTCTCCTAGCCCTTGGCAGCCACCCAAACTTTGCCACTCTGTCTCTCGGCCTAACTAGGATGGAGGCCTGTGGATGTGAGCAAGTTTAGGATGGACTCCAAGGACACAATGGCTGAGTGGGAGTGGACATGTGGAGGAGGGCAGTGGAGAAGGCTTCTGTCCAAGATTTGGGGCTGGGTGGGTGCAGAGACCCTAGTGTCTGAGGAGGGGTCCAACAGGAAGGCCAGGGACATCCAGGCAAAAGTTCCTCTGTGTGTGTAGGAGTGGTGGTGCGTGTGTGTGTGTGTGTGTGTGTGTGTGTGTGTGTGTGTGTGTGTGTAGGAGGAGGGGGGTGGGGTGGAGTGTGGAGCATGAACCAAACTGTGTAGAGTGTCTGTGCTGGCTCCGGGTACTGGGGAGGGAGGCAGCCCTTGACAAGGACAGGCCTGTCAGCACAGTCAGCACAGGAAGGCCCCTTTTGGGGAGGGGGGCGTCTCTCAAGGCAGACTTCTGTGTGCCTGCCCCTTCAGGGCCTGGCTATCCCCCTAACCCCCAGGTAAGGCAGGGCCACGGACCCACCCCTCATACTGATGCACTCCTCTCTCATTCAGCATTCCTGTGGAAGTGGCCGGTTCATGCCTCCCATCTCACTGTTTGAGTATGGCCCTTACCTGCCTCGCCCACCCCAGTCTGTGAGGCACACGGGGCTGTTTAATTTGAGGATGAAGTCTGGAGTCTGGGAGGTCCTTAGTACAGGACTCCATCTCCCACCCTCACGCATTGCCTCTGCAAAGCTCCTCAGAATACAGCAGGGAGGGGATGGGCAGGGCTGTCCGGCAGCTGCGGGGCTGAGGCCACCTGGGAGGGTCCATGCTTTTACAAAGAAATGACATGGCCCCTGGGCGAGATCCAAAATGCTGACCACCTGCAGCTGGAATCCTTGGGAAGTGGTTCAGAGTGCTAGGCAGGCGGGCATGCCAGGTGGGCACAAGTTTCAGGGAAAGAATCTCTGGCAGGCAGATTCCTGCTCACCAAGGCAGAGATCGCACCCCCACCCCTACCGCCTTCAGGCAGCCTTTGCTGGGGACCCCGCGGGAATCCCCAGCCCACCCGGAGGCGCCTCCCAGAGAGGCCCGCACAGTTGAGTGGGAGTTCCTAGCCTCAGGCCACCGTCAACTGCACCCCTACAGCCCACTCCAGTCCCACCGCCGGGTGGGCCGAGCCG